TGGGAAAAGTGTATTGAGCTAAAAGGAGACTATGTAAAGAAATAAAGATATTTTTTCCCAAATTTTTTGTGTTTTCTTTGTTAGGTCAGGTACTTTTGGGACTACCCTTGTAACAGTAATTACGTTCATATTACATTGATGTTATACAACACAACTATTCATGCAATCCATTAAAAGCTGCAAATGTTTTCTATTGCGAATAAGGGTGCATTCTGATAAAGAAAGAAATAGCAAAGCGAAACAGTAACAAATAAAACAAATGATGGAAAGCGGATCAATCAGAAATTCCGTTCCTCTTTTTTGTAGATGCTTCATTTTGTAGTTCTATGTTTTTATGTATTTTTAATGCTTTCATCGCCCTTAAGTAGATCATTGTCTATTTATATTGACGTTTATAATGCATGTTTATATGCATACTGATATGTATATCCCCACAAAAAAGTACATCGAATCCACGTGGAACAGAATTACATGAATTCACAAAACCACATGGATTTCACGTGGACACAACGTTCCTATTTTCGTGGAGATATCTGCACTTGTACTATTTAAACGTTTAAGAACGCTTGTATATTATACAAAACTCACATACAGAAAAATTTCTTTAGGTTTAATATTCTTACTTGTTCGATTTTAAGTTGTTTCATTAAAATATATTTTTACAATATTAGTTTTAGAAATAAAAACTCTATATCATTGAAAAAAAAACATGTTGATAAAAGACAGGATTTGAGATAATATTTTTCAAAAGTTTTTTTTAGATTTAGTAATTAAAATTTTTTATTTAAACTTCCTTGAATTTGTTTCAAACTATTTCTTTTGTGGGTTAACCATTATAATACTCCATTATTAGTAATTTTGAAACATAGTCTATACTGATATTCGTCGCATATCGAATGTTGTTGCGTTGTTTTAATTTTTGACATGAAAGGTTATAATGTTCTGTAAATACTATATAAACACAGGTTACAAGAACATTGTTGGAGTCATTGGGATAACTGCTTGCTACTCGACTGTCAGATTAAACAAAGCCTAGCATGGTCAGCACATAGAGGGGTGTGACCGCTTGGAATCGAAGCTATCTTACGGATGTAAGACGCGAGAAAATTAGGAGTAAATTTTTTACATAACAATAATATTACAGTTATATAACATTTTAGTAACATGTGATATTTCTGTTATATAACTGCAACTTTCTATGAGTGGGAAATTACAACTAACATGTATATTGCTTGTAATGTACACGTTATATTACGTGTTACATTTCGTTACATTACGATAATGTAACTGTTACGTAACTGTGTTTACTGGGTAAAGAATTGGTGCTCCAAAATAGTCGATTTACTGTGCGAGAGATAGCAGATAAAGTTGGAATATCATTTAGATCATGCCAGCACATTTTGTCCAATGTACTGCACATGAAAACGGGTCGCATCGTGCTTGATTCCGAAAAATCTGAATTTTTTCCAAAAAGATAATCGAGTGTTGGTGTCGTCTGAGATGATTTCTACGGTATCCAGAGACAGCACATACAGGATCATCGAAAAGTATCGGACCCCCCTAATACCTTCAGTTAGAATGCATTTTGGAGAAAATGCCCAATAGCAAAATTGTATGGTTTCAAGCGGGGAGTAAGTAGGTGATGACCTTGACTATAATCTTGACCATGTCCTTCAAGGTCATTTCAAGGTCAACCTTTTTTTTTTAATGGAACCCCCAACATTTTATTACATATTCTTATAGCTTATCTCGAGAGCTTTTCAAAACACTATAATAAAACATTTTTTCATTAAGTACTTTTTGTTATAAAGTTTGAAGTTAACAATTTTTTGACAATTTTTTGAAATGTAAAATATCTTGTAAAATATTATTTAGTTTTCAGTAATAATAACCTTAATACTTTTGTGCGCGAAATAATGAGACCAATTAATTGGTTTAAAGAAAATACATTAATCGAAAAGTATTGGCTCCCCCTAATATTTTCAGTAAGAATTTTGGAAAAATATCCAATAGCAAAGTTGTATGGCTTCAAGCGGTTATGCTAGTAGGCTATGGCGGGAAACTGCCCGAAAGTGATCGCGAGAAGCTCCTCGAATGCGTGATGTCCGAAGGCGTTAGCGGGAATCTGCCCGAAAGCGTTGGCGGGGCCGATCTTTATTGTCTCACTCTCGCAGGCACCAATAGTAATACAAGCTCTTGAGCAAACAATGCGGATCACTGATTTGAATCTTTGCAGTGCTGTCTTCTTCTTAGCGAGGAGCAGTCACCTCGTGGACGAAAACGAACAGCCCCAAAAATTGTTTCTGTAACAAAAGAAGCCATTGCGCTTCAATTGATTGTCCCAAACATCTTCATTTTGTTTCCAATAGCCCAGAATTTTTTCGTAAATATTATTAATTGATCTATTAGATTTTCAGTTGCTCAACGAGCTTTTTGCTAGTGCTGGTTGAAATAAACAAATCGATAGTTGGACCAACACTTAATAATTAGTATTTTTCTCTACTTAATTATTTAGATCAATTTCCTATCATTTACCTGATTAATTCTTCTTTGCTCTAATTAAGAATGGCGGAGCTTTCTGAAAGAGATCGAATAACACTGTTAATGATGCGAGGATGAGGAGATCAACAAAGAGGGTATGAAACAGTAAAGCGATTATTTAATGAAAATTTTCGGAATGAAAATAATAGGATCTCCAAAAGTATTGTAATCCGTACTATTTAACGTTTCGAGGACATTGGTAGCGTTAAAAGCCGCCCAAGATCTGGTAGACGTAAAACAGCAACAAATAATGATAAGGCATTAGATGTTTTACAGTATTTCGTTGAAAGTCCCCACATTTCCATCAATCGCGTTGCACAAGAACACGAAATCGGTCATGCATCTGTCAGTAAAATTCTGAAATTGAATAAATGGCATCCATACAAACTCCATTTGGTCCAAGAGTTGTCCGAAGACGATTTTGATAGACGCATCGAATTTTGTGATCTTATAATGGAGATGATTGTCGACGATCCTCTATTACTTAATAATATTGTTTTCTCTGATGAGGCAACATTTTAACTGACTGGAAATGTAAATAGACACAATTGTAGATACTGAAGTCACGTTTATCCTCACTGGAAAAGAGACAATCATACCTAATATCCACAAAAAGTTAACGTATGAGCTGGTATTCTTAATGGTAGACCAGTTGGTCCTTTCTTCATTGAAGGCAATTTGACAACACAAATATACACAGTCATACTTCGCGAACAAATTGTTTCAACTATTCGAGACATAGCTGGTGGAAATATGGATGAAATTTATTTCCAACAGGATGAAGCTCCACCTCATGGTATCATTGTCCGTCAATATTTGAATGAGGTCTTTCAGGACAGGTGGATAGTGCGAAGGGGTCATATTGAGTGGCCAGCTCGGTCTCCGGACTTGACCCCACTTTACTTTTTTGTAGGGTACTTGAAAAGTAAAGTTTATGCCACCAAGCCTCAAGATTTAGATGATTTAAGAGGAGAATAACTCGAGAGATAGAACTAATACCGCCGGAAACGTTCCGGAATGCGGTTTCAGCTGTTTATAACAGATTGGCACATTGCCAGGCTGTTGAAGGGCAACAATTTGAACATTTGTTGTGAATCGTTTGGTACAATTGAATATTTTGCCCAAGCTAACCAATTGGAATGAAATTCGCCTTAAATGGTCGGAATCATACACCACTCTTGCCTTAACTGGCCGGTATCACACACCACTCTTGCCTTAACTGGTCGGAATCACACACCACTCTTGCCTTAACTGGTCGAAATCACACACCACTCTTTCCTTAACTGGTCGGAATCACACACCACTCTTGCCTTAACTGGCCGGAATCACACATCACTTAACAAATTGTTAACTTCAAACCTTTATAACTCAAAAAGTATTTAATGAAAATAATGTTTTATTATAGTGTTTTGGAAAGCTCTCGAGATAAGCTATGAGAATATGCAATAAAATGTTGAAGTTCCATTAAAAAAAATAAGGTCGACCTTGAAATAACTTTGAAGGACATGGTCAAGGTCAAAGTCAAGGTCATCATTTTACTCCCCGCTTGAAACCATACAACTTTGCTATTGGACATTTTCTCCAAAATGTATTCTAACTGAAAATATTAGGGGGGTCTGATACTTTTCGATGACTCTATATATGAAACGGATCATAACTGGTGATGAAACATGAGTTTACCAATACGACGTAACCAGTGCGACGAAACAAAGTAACAATCATCGGAATGGCGTTTGAGAAATGAAGCAAGACCGAAAAGAGCTTGCCAGTCAGAGCTTGCAGTCAAAAGTCAAGGTCATGCTCACGATTTTCTTTGATCATCGCGGTGTTGTGCACCAGGAATTCCTTCCAAATAGTCGTAAGTCAATGCAAAATACTACTTGTCCGTCATGCGGTGTTTGCGCGAAGCAATCCGTAAGAAACGAACGGAATTGTGAAAAAACAACTCATGGATTTTGCATCACGACAACGCACCATCGCATATCTCGACATTTATGCTTGAATTTCTGACAAAAAACTGAACGAATGTCACTCTGCAAGCACCGTATTCAATAGACATGGCCCCTGCGACTTTTTCCTGTTCCTCTTACTGAAAAAACCATTTCGCGGACAGCGTTTCGAATCGATTGAGGACATCAAAGAAAAATCGCTGCGTGAATTGAAGGCCATACCGTCTGCCACGTATGAGCAATGTTTCCAGGACTGGATCAAACGCTAGCATATGTGCGTTGCAAGCAATAGGGACTACTTTAAAGGAGACTATAAAAATTTTGATGATTGAATTGTAATTTTGATTTTTAAAAATAAAGTTCGGATACTTTTTGATCACGATAGTACTTCGGAGACTGTCAATTTTTATATGCACATGTATTTATATGTTATCAAAATAACATAATGCAATAATTAAGATGTATGAGAAACAAGATCTTGTTAATTTATTCATTTATATTTGATTTTAGAAAACGTCCCCAGTGTTACCGTCAGCGGGATTGGGGCAGCTCCGAATCTTTAATACGCTAAACTGTGACGTGGATATAAAATTCAAGAGCAGGGAATCAGTCACTGTAAATCGTCTCAGCATGTGGGCGGACTTAAATGTGAAAACAAATGGATCGGTTATGCGATTATCCTATACCGCAGATTTCACCAAATGCGATATGAAGCTTTACACTAACCTGCAACAGGATACGAAAGGTGAGTTCATGGATTCTAAACAGAGGAGAACTTTTGTATGAATGACCCTTCTCATGAATAATTTTTTTTATCAGACAGCATCATCATAGTCAAGGAATCCACCGCGTCCTCTTGGGTCATAACACCCGAAGGACTAAATTATCATTACGATGACAAAGTGGACAAGTCACGCAACGGCAATTCCATAGTCCGCGGTCTCATCTACATTGCTCCATCAAAAAGCAACTCCGCAACGTTGAAATTTAATCGTAATGGCGAGACAGTAAATTGGATGTCGTTCACTTCGACCACATTTCGGCCTTCGAATCTTCAAGAACTCCAGCCAAATAAATATGACATCTATCTAGATAATACTAAACTGCAGCAGGACGTCGAATTCAAACCAGGCGGCGTATATACCGTAATGGGTGCTTACATACGTGAAGACATCACTACTCACACGATCACAGTCACAACGCCTAACTCAATACACATGATGTGGTTGCTACCACAGTACATCATCATCACGATGGCTGAGGTGATGTATTCAGTGACGGGCCTACAATTTGCCTTTACCCAGGCGCCGAAAAGTATGAAGTCCTTGTTGCAGGCAGGTTGGCTGCTAACTGTGGCCTTCGGCAATCTTATCGTAGTGATTATATCAGAGGTGTCAATTTTCGATCGACCGGTAAGTAACGAAATCATATTAGGAGATTGCATTGAAAGTCGTTGTATTTTTATGTTTCTTGAGCATTTATTTTAATAACAAAATGTATGAATATATCAATCAAAGTATTTGCCCTCGGAAGTTATGACTTTTCCCCACTTTTCTGCCAGAAGTTGAATTCCGCGACGAAAGGACGGTCTGTCTTTTGAGCCAATCCATTCAATAACTCAATTTTCGACTTCTCTATAATTATGGAAATGTGTATCTTCCAAAGAACGTTGCATCGATCGGAACAGATGGTAATCGCCAGGTTTGGAGGATACGCTGGGTACGGAAGAACCTTCCATGCAAGTTCCATCAGTGTTTATTCCACAGTTATAGCAACATAGGGCCGAACGTTGTCACGGAGAAGAATCACTTTTCAGCGATTTGATGCAATTGATGGTCGTTTTTGCATCAAATTATCATTCAAACAGTCCAATTGTCGATAACATTCGGCGGTGACTATTCCATTCAGTTTCAACAGGTCATAATATACGATACCCTCCATATCCCACCAAATAAAGAGCATTGCTTTATGACTGTGAACTTTTATCTCTTTTTTATGTCTTGCAAGCAAAGAAATCGAGATGTTTAAACGATCAGCAATGGCATTTTCGATCAATTCATGTGACAGCCATTGGCTCCTTTCTTTTTAGATCTTTCCCATAATTTGTAAACGTCATGAAATGGTTAATTTACCAACTTCGAGCTGTTGAGCCAATTCTTTGAGTGTTTGAGCAGAGTTTTTTTCCAACAGAGCTTGCAGTTGTTCATCTTCGAACTTTTTCGATTGACCTGACCGTTGTTTGTCGTGGACGTCAGAATCACCACTTTTTTTTGGTCACGTAGGGGAAATCCTCGTGGATATCCCCGACCCTTGGGGAGGTCGGGGGTTATATCGAACTCTTACCGACTAAAACCCCTGCGAGATGTCTACCTGTCGGACCGTGAGAAGGGGAGTCAGGGGAACTACTCCCGCATTCCCTCCCCAACCCCCCGGCCCAAGGGCTCCCTTTCGGGAGGGAACCCCTCGCCACCTGTATACCGCACCCTGTTCCACAAAGGGAATCCAGGGCGCGGTCCCCGGCGGGTTGCCCCGCCGGTTGGCCTTCTGGTGTCTCCGTTGAAGGAGAGAGGGGACATCCACCCTCCCTCCTTACCCCCCTCCCTCCTAGTCAGGGAGGGGAGGATTTTGGGGGAGTGGGCCCAGCCCCAACTGGGTGTTCCACTCCCCCCTGTCCCTACCTGTCCGACGCGCGGGGGGAACCAAGGGATTCACCTCGGACGAGTCCTTCGATGGACTCGCCCTAATCGGATTCTCCGGATCCCGCCCGCGGACGGAGTCGGGCCCGAGGTGGCCGAAGAGGAGGACTCGGCCCCCTATTATCCAGGGGTTCTTCCTCCTCCCCAGCCGGTGCCACCTCGGGTCCGCTGCCAATGTCCTCCCCCGGGGAGGGACGACCTCCCCGCCTCCTCCTGAGGCGGTTCTCCGGCCGACGCTCTTACTCGGCGGCCTCCTTCTTGGACATAACGTCCCTGCAGAAGGAGGCCGCCGCCTCCCATACCTCCTCGCTCCCGCACATGGCCTGAACCAAGTGCGGGAGCGAGATGTTCTCCTCCCGGCACCCCATCGCCCCGGCCAGAACACGGCGCTCCTCCCTCCAGGCTGGGCAATCAGCCCAGAGTGTGGTGCGCCGTGTCTATAAGCACGGGGCAGTGGTGGCATCGGGTGGTGAGATCCTTACCGATCCGGTGCAGATACTTTCCGAAACATCCATGCCCTGTCAGCACCTGCACCAGATGGAAGGTAAATCCACACCCCCTCTTGCCTGCCATTTCGGGCAGGCAAGGGCGGACAGTCTCGGCCGTCTCGCGCCCGTACCCCCGTGGGTCGGACAAATGTCCCCCCACGTCTCCAGGGGTCGGGCCATGGCCTAGGACTTCAGGCCTTTCAGGGCCCTGGCCGTCAGTTCCCCCTCCTCGCGGAGCTCCTTAGTCCTCCAATAGAGGACTCGCCTCTTCTCGGCGAGGAGCTCCACGGGAGGGGAACCAGCCAGGGTGGTCGCCGCCATGTACGATATTGTGCGGTACCCTCGTATCGCCCGAATGTACATTGGTCTCAACGCCTGCCTGAGACGGCGAATGCCGTCCCGGCAGGCGAGAAGCTGGGGCGCCCATATGGGCGTTCCGTACATGGCGATCGAGAGCACCGCACTCACGTACAGGTGGCGAGACCTCCATCCTGGACCCTCCTGGTTGCGCAGGAGGGTTGCGCTGGCCACCGCCAGCCCAGCCCTGCGCACCCTGGGGGCCAGTTGCCTGAAATGAGACCTGAAATCCCACCGGCTGTCCAACGTCAGGCCGAGATACTTGATCGTTGGCCCGACACGGATGTGGACGCCATTGACCAGGACCCGCGCCTCCGGCGGCGCCCCTCGACTGCCGTCGTGAAAAAACACAGCCTCAGTCTTCTGGGGCGCCACCTTGAGGCCCAGGTCCCCGGTGGTACTCACCACCGATGCCACCGCCGCTTCCGCGTAGAGGCTTCCCCCCAGCTTCTTCCCCCGGCCGCCACTAACATGTCGTCCACGTAGCAGACGACGTGGCAGCCTGGGGGAAGAGGAGTGCGCAACACCCGGTCGGACGCGATGTTCCATAGCAGAGGGCCGAGGACCGACCCCTGCGGAACACCGCGCTCCATTGCGCGCCGGCCTTGGACCCCGCCCTCCTTGAGGAAAGCGAGGTCCCTGTCCCCGAAGTACGCCGAGAAGATCCGCCGAAGATAGACGGGCACCCCGTGGTGTTCGACGGCCCGTCCAATCTCCGGCCAGGGCAGGGTGTTGAAGGCGTCTTTTATGTCCAGGGACACCGCCAACAACACCCCGCCCCCCCCTCTCTCCACGACCGTCCCGGTCAGGTCCCAGAGGTATTGGATAGCGTCCAACGTGGACCTACCGGGCCTAAAGCCGTATTGACGGTCGTGGAGGTTCAGCCCCTCCGAGGACAAATGCTGGACGAGGCGGTCGGCAACGATACGCTCCAGCATCTTGCCCGCCTCGTCCAGCAGGCATATCGGCCTGTAGGTCGACGCACTCCCGGATGTCTTGCCCTCCTTGGGGAGGAGAACCAGTTTGCCCCTCCTCCACGCTGGGGGGAACACCCCCTCCTTGAGACACCCGCTGAATACCCCGCGTGTGGCCGCGGACAGGCTTCCCTCGCCGAGGGCGAGCGCCCAGGCGCGGCCAGGAATTCCATCGGGACCAGGAGCTTTCCCCTTACCCCCGAGTTTCTTCCTGGTCCTGACGAGCTCCTCCGGACTCACAACCAGGTCCTCGTCCCAGTCTCCCTCCCCCATTTGTGGGGCAGGGATTCTTGAGGGTCCCCTTCCACCCTCGAAAAGAGGGTGTCCAGGAGCCCCTCGAAGGCCTGGCTGTCTAGCGTTTCCGTAGGTAGGGACGCCCAAGGGCGGTTCTTCCCCATCGCCCTTTTATACGGACGCCCCCACGGATCCTCGTCCAGGGAACTCGTCAGTTGCTCCCAGGCCACTCGTTTGGCCTCGGTGATGGCGTCATGGAGGGCTTTCCTGGCGAGCAGGTAGTCCTCTTTTGCCCTCGTGACATCCCCGCCTCGTCGCCGGGTCCGGTAGAAATACCGCCTGGCCTGGATAGAGGAGTCGCGGAGTTTCGCAATCTCCTCCGTTCACCAGTATGCGACCCGGCGCCGGCAGAGGTGGGCTTGAGGCATCGCGGCGTCGCACGCCGACACCACAATGCCCACGATTTCCTCAGCCCCTTTCAGTGGGTTGAGGGCCCACTGACCCGGCTCCTCGTCAAGGTGCCAGGTGGCCACGAGGACGGACTCCCGAAACCTATCCGCGTCCAGTTGACTGAGTGCCCACCTTCTAGGGAGGGGAAAGTCCCTCTCCCCGGGACAGCGAGGGGCCCGCACCCGTGGAGGTTTGGGGAGGCGGAAGGCCCACACCATGTACCGATGGTCGGATAGTGTTTCGCCCTCCACCTCCACCTTCCACTCCTGGAATAACCAGGCGGCCGAGGGGGTAGCCTAGGTCAAATCGATTACCGACTCCCCCCTCCCCGGCCGCACACAGGTGCTGGCCAACCCCTTGTTCATTAGCAAGAGGCCCAACCCCGCTGCCCACTCGATCACGGCCTCGCCCCGAGGGTCCCGCTGCCGGAGACTGTAGCCCCACCCTTCCGAGTGGGCGTTAAAGTCCCCGGCGATGACGACGGGTCGAGGGTGGCACCCACGCACCATATCCCCGATCCCGTCGAGGACCCCCTTTATACGAGCGAGGTCTCCGAGACCGACTTTGTTTCTACGGTGGTGGAGGTACACCCCCACTACCGTAACGGGCCCACAGTCGACCGCCACGAACGAGGACCCCTTTTCCCTTAATTCACAGGGAGGGGTCCCCGCCGTGGGGTTCGCCACCACGGCCACCGAGTCGTCCCGGCTGCCGAACCAGCTCGCGTTGTTCGCCGGCACCCGGTACGGCTCGGCGGCCACCCCTAGCCCGGCGCCCAGCTCTAGAATCCTGTGTGACCACAGGTCCTGAGCCTGGGCGCCGTGGCCGAGGTAGAATCACCACTTTTGAATCGTCGAAACCAATCTCTACATACTGTTTCCGATGGAGCAGATTCACTATAAGTTTTCGCAAGCAATCGATGATCTTAAGCTGCATTTTTTTTTAATTAAAATAGTGGAAAAGTACGCATTGGAAAAACAATTTATCGTAATTTTCCATTGTAATATGGTTGTAGAAAAGTATTTGTGTAAACAAAGGATGACGACTGAATTTTAGTGGGACATGTTCACACTTTAAAATGTCATAAAAGACATCTGTCATTGCCCGTAGCATACACAGCTATCTACACGTGAACAACGGCTTTCAATACAACTTTCTAATACTTCAGAAAGTGTTTGAGTGATCAAGTCTTTGTAAACATAACTTCTCCGTCGGCAATATTTTCATATTTCATATTTTACTTTTTCAGGCATATGAGTCATTCCTTTATGCTGGTTTGATGCTACTAATTATGGTTGTGTTCACCGTGATGTCTTTGTTCTACAAATACGTAGAAATACCGGATGATGAGAGTAGTAATGGGGATATAGCGTTGGAAAACAAAGATGGGAATGTTAATATCGCTTACAAAGAAGACGAGAAATGACGTTGAGTGATAACGACGAACAAGATGTCGTAATTTTTTCTGTGTTCCTCGATTACTCTTGAACGATTAGGTAAAAGATGTCATCGTTCGTACAAGAGTTGCCCCCTTTTCCATCAGATATCTGATATGCTCAAGAATGGTATGACAAGAACCATTCTTAACGTACAAATTTATTCAGTCAAAATTTTACAACAAATTTGAAAGTTGAAAATGTATATTCCATTAAGTCGCGCAACAACGAGAAGAATCACAAACGGATCTTAAAAGACATTGTAATTTCATTAAGAGAGAAACAAAGATCTATCTTATATTTTGAAAATATTTAAAATTTTACATTTGCGAATATATTTTTTATTTACGTAACTTTTTACGGAATTAAAATAAAATTAACATTATATGAATGTCGATAATAGGGCAATATATCCGAATTACTGCCAAATCGAATCGGCAATGATTATGAAATTAAGATTTTCTCCGATAGGGGATTAAAAAATTAACATATTTATTTACGGGAATGTTGCGCATAAAATCAATGCGCCTGGTTCCTCTCACCATGGATATTTTAATACTTGTCAGAAACGAGAAAATACTCAAAATTCTTATAAAATATATTGAAATAAAGATACCTATAAAGTGACGTAATCGATTGAGTTCCGTAAAATAGTCTGAAAACTATCTTTATTTCGATAATCAGAAGAATATTGTGATAAATTAATAGTTATCATATTATATTGATTTTATAGTTATTTCTTGATTATGACAAAAGAATTTTACAAATTTTTTTTTAATTTGAAATATTTTACGAATCGACTCAATCTATCACGAGTGTCATTTTATAGGCATATATTTTTATTTTAACGCACTTCGTAAGAATTTTAAGTATTTTTTTTCATTTCTGACATTCGAGATGACTGCGATGAGATCAAGAATCTTAATAAATGAACAAAAATGTTTGAGGTGGAAAATTTTTTAATTATGTAAATAAGAATTGTACTATTCAAAAGTTATTGATTTTAATTTTAGTTATAAGCACAATTTATTTTTATACAAAAAACAAAAGCAAAATTAACAGTAATTATATGTTATAATCATTCAAAAAGAAAATAAATAAAATAAAGAATCAACAGTTACAGAAACATTGGAATGGTTGGGTTAAAATTATAAAATTCGAAATTTATACTCGGATTACACAATTTTTGTGTCTAAAACGTTTATTTCTGCAAATCCTAAATTTCCACAAGCTCTAGAACAGTGTAACGCATATGTCATGTGGTTCAATATATCTTGAAAAGACGGTGTCGAATATCTGGTGTAGCTAGATTCTTATCATCAAACATTGACATATCGTTTTGCATAATACACGTGTACAGACTATAAATAAAAATACAGTCAGGTGCAATGAAATGGTCTGATTCTGGCTTATATGAATGTAAAGCAACACAAACCATTTCCAAACTGCCAGCGCATATTTCAACAGAACTGAATGTAGAGACTAAGTGCGTCTGATAGCAATATTCAACGGCGGCAACAAACCAACATTGATCATAAATCAATCACATAAAAGTAATAAAAATGAGCACTTTTATATAATTAGCATATATTAAACGCACGTGCAAATTATATACAAGCACCGATAATGGCCAATTTTGTGCAACTGATTTATAACGAATGTTACTTACCGCCAGCATTGATCATTTTTAAACGCATTCGGTCTCTACATTGGACTCTGGTAAAATATATATCGACAATTTAAAGTTGGTTGCGTTGTTCTGCATCCGTATCAGAACCGGACAATTTTATCGCATCAGACATACATATATAAATAAACTGATTATTTTCTTTCTTTCGTATCCACATTAAAAAAACGTCTATCTCAAAAAATCTTACGTTTCATTGGAAATCCACAGCCTCTCTTATCTCCTTGCAATTTGAGATTAATCACATTTGCACTACTCTCTCTTCCTCTCTCTCTCCTTTCTTTCTCTTCGCTTCTCTTCGTAATTTTCGTACGTAATGAATTTACTTAATTCCAATATAGTTATAGCCAGTTTTCACATTTTCTGGTATAATGTGAACTATAAGTACTGTACTAATCATATGATACACACAATGATTCTTAATCTTACATAATAAATAGATGCGTAATATTCGACAGCAACATTCTTCGGCTCCAATTTTTGAAGCACTATATTATATATCGATTTATTATGCGCAATTAAGAATCACTTGTACATGCAAGATGTCTCGGTGCTCTTCACTATCACTGTCAATTTGGCACCGTTAAAATTTCACCCCATATAATAATGAAATTCTACTCCGCGTATCACTGTGCCGAATAAATTGATTAACGATTATCGGCACATGAATGTAAGGTATATCATCGCGCAGAACTAAACCTAATGCTGCGAATGAATTACACATTATATTTTACGGTTAAATCGTGCTTGATAATATTTGCAAACAATGAATCAAAAATCGTCGTTTACGCACGCTGGCCACAACTCGTCTAACGCATGCCTACCTAGCAATCTTGTCTAACGTGATATCAACTATGAATATAAGATCCTTTATGACTGATTAGCGGGACGACGTGTTGTCCATGAAGAAGAGCAGTTATTTGTAGCGGTATTTACTTTCACATGTCTGTGTTTAACAGGATCCTCCTTCTGAAATAAGCAATCACTTTTTCGTTATCACAATATCGTTCGTATCGCACGCTATTCTTATTGTTCCAATTTAAAACTAAGATATCTATTCTACTTAAGCAGAATTTAAGGACTTCACCGTGTGCAAACGCAATTTGTCGAACATATCACGTGCAGTGACATAAGCAATTGATCCCACTTGAGCGGCCATGGTAAGTAGCGTTTCCGGTAGAATGAGAACAGGATCAGCGGTAGCGTTCGGCACCTGTTCACCAGATGAACTCCTCGACCAATTGGACCCGTCAAGTCCGGTCGTTCGACTTGACTGCTGAGATCGAAACTTGTTCCAATCATCACGATACGTCTCGTCCATTCTAGCCCTGCCACTCTTTTTCTCACGAGTAGTATGCCATGTGACCTTCCTTGGAATTGTAGTCGCTTTTTGAGCGTCTTTAGTCATAGTCTTCTGTTTGGCATAACTATGACAGGACTGGTAAAAGCAATCATTATTATTATCAGTGACCGATGTGGTATGTGAGTGAAAGCTTTGCATGAAGTCGCTTGCGTCAGTCTGTGACTGCGAATTCATTCTCCAATGAAACTCTGCGGACGACTCTTGATGCTGATCATCTGCTATTTTCGAACAGTTTGGAAGCTCGCTTTGCTCATCGTTTGAATCCGTTGTGTTGTACTGCGAGCTTTTCTGTTCGCAGAACGTTTGCTGCTCTGTATGTGACGGCTTTGAAGAACGGGTTTCTCGTACCGGCAAGGTCTCTGCTACAAAGGAATAGACTCCATCGGATCGTTTTTCAAATTCTACGTTCGTATTGGAAATCGGCAGGTGCTCATTATAAATTTTGCCGTAAATGTCTACCATATAGGCTGAGCTTGTCACCGTCTTCGGAATCTCTACAGTCGTTTGCAGATCTTCCTCGTTCGTTGAAAAGACATTTACAAAATGTTCCTCATCGATACATGAGGAGGAGCGTGGCGAGGGTGTCTCTGACAAGAGCTCGAAGCTGGGCGAGTCTCGACTATTATCACGTTGCTGCAATTCAGCAATGGAGAATACTTTAGAGTGCGCGAGCGGTGGATCAGTATTCTCCGATGTAGGCATATCAACCATCACAAAGGTATCTACATGTTTTCGTTCATCAGCCGCGATAGAACAGCCTGAACAATGACTAATCTTATCGATGTCCTCTGTGAGATCGTCGCACCAGGTATTCTCGTGAAATGAATCTACATTCAGCGCTCGGTTCCCAGTAATAGAGCAGTTCATGCGAAGCTCACCATCGAGAATCTTTAACGCATCGGAAGTCATGCTGCAAATTGGAGTAACATCTTCTTGCACATTGTTGTCGTTAACATTTTGAACAGATTCCTTATATCCTTGTTTATTGTTAGCGCTAATATCCAGATTGTTAGTCATTTCATCAATTCGGTAATATTGCTTCTCCTTCAGGATCTCATGAATATCCTTGATATTGTCCAAATCGTTTAAGTTTAATAACAGCTTCGTTTGCTGCAACTGCCGACAGTGATCCTTCGCGTTCATATTTATGTTCAAATCCTCCGGTTCATCCACCTGTTCGATTGAAGCATCACTGAATTGCCCCTCATCTTGAGCATTCACTGTTTTATGGTTTCTCTCATTCAATTGGGCATTCAAGTGCGAATCGAAGGAGCATCGAAGGTGTCGTTTTGAAAGAGAAGAATGTGATCGCCTCCTGGATTGATTAGTTTCATCAGATATAAGGGATGTAAAGGAGTCTAAGTGTTCGTTTAATATTTCCTTCATTTGCTTCACTACTTCTTGAGTAATGGTAGACATCATTTGTTTTTTCATCTATAAGATAATGGAATTAAAGATAAACGATAATATCCGCAGTTATAAAGGTACGCATATAAATACTGGGTATATATGAGACCACTCATGTACACCCCTTCTCTTTCAAAAACTAAACATTTTAGAGCAAAACGTTTTAGATGAAAATTGTATGATTTCAAAGGGGCCATAAAACAACTATATCAGCTTGTTTACAGATGGCGCTACTTTCGAGATATTCACTCATCATTACTTTTCTTAAGTAGAAACCTCAATTTTTTATTATATCACCTTTTCTACGAATTGATTTTCATAACATTTGTCTGAAATATTTTTTTTATTTGCCTAATATTTTTTAAGATATTTAAGAAAAACTCGCTAACTTTCATATCTAACTTAATATCTAACTTACGATATTTCACTATCGAAAGAAAAAATAATACTAAATTTTTTACTCTATTTGGTCTCAAGAATATATTATTACAATAATGCCCCACCTTTTGTTAACTTATCGACCTTTGAAAATTTCAAAACCATCAAATTAACAAAAGTCAGGGCGCTATTGTAACAATATATTCTTGAGACCAAATAGAGTAAAAAGTCTAATACCATTTTTTCTTTCAACAAACAGTTAACGAGATATAGTAAATTAAATGTTGTAAGAGTTACTAAGTTTTCCTTAAATATCTCAAAAAATATTGAGCGAATAAAAAAGTTTTAGACAAAAGTTGTTCAAATTAATTGGTTAAAAGAGATAATATAATAAAAAATTCGAGTTTCTATTTAAGAAAAGTAATGATCAGTAAATATTTCAAAAGTGGTGCTAAGCAAACAAACCAATATAGTTGTTTTATGTTCCCCTTGAAACCATACAATTTTTGTCTAAAATGTTTTTCTGCTAAATGTTTAGTTTTTGAAAGAAAAGAGATGTACGAGTGGTTTCAGACCTATAGTATATGCAATCACATAGATATCTCCATATATTTATTGGTGTATATGTACTTACAGATTCCATATATTCTGTAAACCATGGAGGAGGTGAAGTATTTTCATTCAATACTTTTGGTGAGTGCCATTGCATTGAAATATTTGAATCATCAACTTTTAACCATGTATCATATGAAACCACCGGCTCTGACTGCTTCTCACTCATCTTATCAACATAACATGACATATCTGTCATTGTATGTGTTATATTGTTTAAATCTGAGGTACAACTTTGTATAATCTTCTCAGTATTCTGTACATTCTGTTTTTCATTTTTTTCATTATATTGTCTCATATCCAAAATATTATTCCATTCAGTAAGTTTGCAGGATCTTGTAAGTAATACAAGTCCTTTATTGCTTGGAGTAGAAGTTTTTGCAAGCTGAAATAAAAATTGTTAAAATTGTTCAGAATTAAAAATTTAATTCTGAACTCTTAGGTCAATTTTTTATAAAAATTAATAAAAAAAAAGTTATCCCATCTATAGACTTAAAATAAATCTATATTTAATATTTAATAAAAAAGAATAAAAGAATTACAAGATAGTCTAAAAAGTACAATAAAACTCCCGTTTAGAAAAGATACTTCTGATGGCCTTGATATTGTCATATATTATAGTACTAACCTTCCTAAATAACATACAAAGGTTTCAGCCACTACATTATTTATTAAAAAGCTATAATAGAATTTTTAAAAATAAATCATGATTTTCTGACACCATATACATTTCAAAAATATTCAACATATAACAGAACTTACTGCCCTGTTTTGATTTTAAAAATCAATATATATGTTTATAAACAAATATTTAGTAGAGAATGAAATTTACTGCTCTATTTCAATTGTCTTGAATATCAGCATCAATTAGTATGTCATACAGTTCAAACAGTTAAATTATAAAATTTCAATATGCAGTTACATGAATTTCTCAATATAACATACAGTTTTGATGCATTATAGAATTTTTTGTGTGAGGTTAGAAGGAAGTGCCCTAAACAGGAATTTTACTGAAAATATAACTATATAAAAATAAAACAAATATCTTATTTCAATCTAAAATATAACTATATCTTTAATATATATATTTGTGTATATATCTGTATGTCATGTGTGTATGTATATATATATACATATATTTTTTACTCTTAATGCCTCCTGAAACTCATATTCTGACTCTATTGGAATTTCATCACCATCATCATCGATGTAAGAAATATGACTGATTCCTTTACTTCCACACTTGTCACGCTGCAATAAATAAAAGAAAAGGTAAAATATGTAAAAATCATATTGATAGATATATATTTATCATGTTCTTTTATATTGTTATATGCTGTATCAACAAATAAATACAATACTACATTTATTTCTAATATATTGCTATTCACTTGTTTTTCTATGTATGTTTCAGAAAAAAGTATAATATATACAATCCTACTGAAAAATTTCTATTGAAATAAAAGAAATTTTTTACTAGGAAATATAACAGAAGTTCAAATTATCTCTTGAACTTAGATGTCAAAATAATTATATGTAAACAAATATAAATCAATGATGACATGACACCAAAACATGATTATGAGTCAATTTCATTATCTTTGATTAATTTAATTGGCTGATTAGGTATCAGCTGTAATTGATCAATTATGGTCAATTCTGTTTAACAACAAATGCGGTGCGTTTATTTTAATAAAATAATTGATTAAATTAATCGAAGATGGTGAAATTGGTTCTGTGGTAATTATACAAGAGAATGCCACTTTTACCAGTCTTTGTTGTAAATTTTCCTGAGTAAGAGATTGCCATGATGGAATGACTAAGCTTCTCCTCATCACAACAGACTTATCCTTATGTACAGTCACACGAAAGCTGTAGAACTCCTTGTTGTTCATTATCATGGTTCTCCGCGACGTCAACGGTGTCATCATGTCGACAACCATTCAAGCTTCCCTCTCTCCCTCGTTATTTGCGTCTTATTGACGATGTTGGCTGCGTTCCGAAATTCACTGCCAGTACTGAAAATACATAGTTTGTGTCACGTATACTATAGAATTTCAGTGCTGGCAGTGAATATCAGAACGCAGCCGTTGAGACCATAGACATGATATATGGACGTAAGAATATATGGACGGAGCATAGAGCTGCGGGGATGGTCCATGAAGGGTGAGGGGAAAGAAATGTCTATTGTAACGGATATGAGAGCCAAGATGGCGACAGTCGCTAACGTCACGGAATGTTATACCAGAGAGAAGAATGAGAGCGGCCACCGGCTGTATTTCGGGGGATACGGCTAGGCGCATTTTAGATACGCCATCTGACCAAAATGCGCCTAAACTACGTCCGCTAGGCGCACTTTCGCGGTGATAAAAGTAAAATGCGCCTAAGTTCGTGTCCGTACTACTTCCATGCAATGGATAGTAGATTAGAAAAAGACAGACGACAGACAATCGTTCCGTCTTTGTCTCACTACTGAGCGGCGCGCGGCAATAAACACGAGGCGAGGTAGCGGCGATCTTATCGCTAAGCGAACATCTCTCCGCTTTTCTTTCATCTTTCACGCTCCAGAGACATCAAAAGACGCGGTAGCGTCTCGTGTCAAGGGAACGTGCGAAGCGAGGAATTATTTTTCACGCACGCGAGGTAGCACATGGGAGACTAGACGAGCGTCGACATATTATCTGTTTCTTTCCCGCTCGTCTAGCTTATTGCCTGCGTGAGCCGCGAGATTTTTCTCGCTACTCCTATACCTCGCTCTTTCTCTCTCTCGCTCGTTCTTCCTCTCTTCTCGTGTTCTTACGGCTTGATTAAATATATTAATTACATGACAATATATATATAAATAAATGACACATATACAGGGTGCACGATTTATCTGAAGACATTGAAATATTTCGAAAACTATGCATTGGATAAAAAAAGTAGTTAATGAAAGTTATTAGTCTCAAAGGGGGACATCCAATGATACCAAACTCGACCTTCCACCCCACCCCCTGGGGGTGGGGGTTGGGGGCAACTTTTAAATCTTAAATGAAAATCCCCATTTTTTATTGCAGATGCGGATTCTACGCCACAAAATACGTAAATTTTGTCCGAAACTTTTTTTTCGATTCGTGATAGATGGCGCTGTAATCGCAAAAAATTATATTTTCCGCAATTCTCCAGAAATGATCATTGGATTGAGAAATAAAAAATACCTGTTCAATATTTTTAAAGAACATTATTATTATTATTATTATTAAATTATCATTATTATTATTATTAATTAATTAATTTAAAATTAAATTCATATTCAGTAGCTTCGAGACATTAAGTCAATTAGACATTCTATGTTAATGTAGGTTGCATATTAAATAATAATCATTCATTGTTAATCTCTTCTCTGGTTCGCATTTATTTTCGAGCTTTTTGCATTATGTTTCAAATCAGCATGTTAATCTTTGACTTGTGAAAGGAATTGTTCAATTAACAATTGAATCTTAGAGAATGTAATGAAAGACCATATATCATTGATAATTGATATGAGCAATTTCAATCGGTTCAATCAAAGAGCGTTCCATTATGTAGGTTACAATTGGTTATATAGATAATATTTATAATCGTAACATCGTGAAAGATGTTCGATGATTGAAAAACGCTAAGATTTAGTTTCATAATTTATTTTAACCGGAGTTTAAGACTTATTGAGACAAACTTGCATAGTCATATTGTTCATATGCATAACTGAAGTAGAACAAATAATTATATAAAAGTGAAGATGATGTCAAAATTAAGTTAAAATAATTTTGACGTTATCTTGACCTTTGATGATTATTTGTTCTAGAGAAGGAAACAGATTAATTAAATGTAAAATATGTCTAATATAAAAGGCACGCTTGTACGGATTATGATTGGTTGATTTCCTTGTGCATATCAATGATGCGATTATGTAATTTTGTTGAGATAGGCTTTTAAAGAGTAGTCTTATTGAACCCGACAAAAAATATGTATATTTCGTTAAATTTTGCGGAAGCGAAAAAGATCACATGATTAAAAGATTACGGGTTTTGAGAGTTTGCTTAATGATGTTTGAAGAATATATATACATTTTTCTACAAGTATGTAAGGTTAAAAATATATAAAATATTGCAGTAAAAGCAAAAAGGTTGCAAATAGACGATTCCAAGGAATTTCTAAATGTGTGTGATTTAATTTTACACAATTATTTAAAGTAGCTTTTTATTTTTTATAAGTATAGTTATCGTCTGAACTACAATCGGAACATAAATAATAAAATGGTAGCATTTAGAACGAAAATCGTCTATTTCTGGCCTCTCGGTAAAGTTTAATAAAAAATATTAATTATTAATGAATTTGGTTAATTGTAGTTAAAACGCTAAAGAGAAGTCTATTTTATAATGCTGCCAAGTTGCAAGTCAATTGGTCAAATAGTTATTGAGACATCGTGCGCATCGTGGAACCTCCTTGCTTTCACTGCAATATTTTTCATATTTTTAATCTTATATGTAGAAATTTATATATTGTATACATTCTTCACAAACATCACATTAAACAAACCCTCAAAACAAAAATCCTGTAATCTTAAAGAAACAGGATATTAATCCAAAAAATAGAAAGTATCAGAAATAACCGCTCGGTACTTCTAATATTAACGAATTATATTCCGGTTAAAATAATATAAATCGTATAATATATTCCGGTTAATATAATATAAGTCGTATAATATATTCCGGTTAATATAATATAAGTCGTGAAACTGGACCTAAGTAAGACTTACGTTTAAGTGAATGTTCTCTTGAAACTGAAAACATTAATAATAATAATAATGATAATTATATTTCTATTTACACACACACGGGGGGATGCAAGGGGGGCCTTCGACCCCTCCTCCCGCACCTACCTCGTCGCGCGTGGAAAGTTGCGAACCCATCCGGAATCTTGACAGATTTCCTAACCTATTATACCAGTCAACTTTAACTATTTTTATTTCGTTTCGCAGTGAAGAGCGACAATTTTCGCAAAGGAAAAAGTTGCTCCTTATTAAAAAACGCGTTAATTGAGTCTATTTTTATCGAATTCTAAAGCGGAGCCCCTAAACTGGATAATTACCAATTCTACTAATACGCACTCGGTATCTTTCATTTTTCGCAATTATAAAAATTGAGAGACACAATATTAGATATTAGTCACATTGCACATACTGCCGGGCCATCCGCAGTGATGTCAGTTTCGAGTCCTAACCAGCACAGTTATAATGCGTGCAGCGGCGCGCACACAAGCGAACTACCGTGTACGTACGCCTGCCCGTCACGAACTATAGGCTATAGTTCGTAGCAAAATATTTTTTTAATTAAAAAATAAAATGTGGTTACACATACTATTATATACATTATACTACACTATTATATACACTATACATTATATTATATTAAATTTAATAAATTTTTCAAACACTATAGAAATAATTTATTTACAGCTGCATTGCAGTAAAAGTATATTATATATATTAAGATTTGCTATTAAATTTCATAGATTACTGGGGGTATATCACGTTTTATTCATTACACATATGTAGTAGTGTGTATTACACATTTTGTAGATTACACGTATAGTCTATTACACAAGTCATTCACCACACGTGTAGTCTATTACACAAGTCACTTACCACACGCATAGTATATTACATATGTAGTGGATTGCACGTGTAGTATATTACACACTTCAGCGTGTAATAACTACAGATTATTGTGATTCTTTCTGTGGAAATTACTGGGAGTTCTGTAATAATTACACAATTGTAATATTTACAGGCTGTAATTTCTTCCCGTAAGGGATATATGCAACTAAACTATTCTAAAACATGTATTCAACATTTTGTAATTATACAATTCCATATAACATAATTATGTGTTAATCTTTTTTCCACAGATACCAGCAGATGGCAAAATTGTCAGTATAACATTATTGCGATATTAAAAGTCCGCTTTTTATTACATCTAAAACGAAATATAACAATTACGTCAATGTTATATTTTGTTATAAAAATGTAATAAAAAGCGGATATTTGAATATTGTCATAATATACTGAAGTATTTTTGTCATTTGATATCCACAAAATATCTGTAGAAATTAGCAAACAGCTGTATTATGTAGGATATCATAATTGCAAGTTATTAGTTAGACTCACATACTATAGTATAGATATGTTAAACAGCAATCGCAGTAGTATTGTAACTATTAATACGTCAAAATTATAACACATATATATATATTTATTTATAAAAGTATGTTACAACAATTAATATTAAATAAAAATTTGCTTCTTTGGTTAATATACTAAATGGTGTACATACATAATGGTAACAAAATATAAACATATGTATATAAAACATAAATAAAGTGTTTTATCTACTTTGGTAGTAAAAAATAAACGAAAAACATCAAAGAACTATCAAAAATTATGAACACATATATGTAAAAGGAACACATATAAATGAAAAATATTATATTAATACTATTAATAAACTATTAATAAAAATATTATATTAAATGATAATATCATTGTTAATCATGAGCCACCATTTCTCCAATTTTTTGCCTTGAAATCCGTACAGTCGCTTATGCAAGCCATTTCGATACATATTCCGCATAGTCGTTGTCTGTCATTGCGCTGTAGGATATACGAACAGCTTCTGAAATATATATCATTACCGTATTATTATTATTTTTATAAAATTTTAAATAATAATTAAATAGCAACTTGAATCTAAATAATACCGTTATTTGCAGTATTGATCAAAATCATATTGCTTTACGGAGTAGAATAACTTTTTTCTTTAAAATTCGTTCATTTTGTGTAAAAGCGAATCGAAATAGCTTATAGTCTAATCAATTTTCAAAATGAAATCCGGGAAACCAGATAAATACCCAAGAGATATATAGTCTTATCTGTATGCATTGCTTATAACATCTGTTGCAGGGTGTAGTCTACGTATATACTTATATAAGTCGACAAAATACAATTTCTGAGTACGGTGGTTCCAATGAAGTCTTTCAGAAAGGTTATAAGGCTCCGTCAGTTTCTCAATACACACATTTGTGTCATCTGCAACTT